GCCTCACTCTGGGTGCTCTCCATGGGCCACTCACCATTTCCTGAGCAGGACCAGAGCTCTTCTGCCCCAAGGCTGGGCTTCAGCTGTTCTTTCAGCTTCGAATGTCCCTTCCCACTCTCCATCATCCACATTCACCTATCCTGTCTGACACAGTTAAAATCCTGTTTCTTCTAGAAACAATCTCACCCCACCCGCTTACCCTAGGGAGACTAGCTTGTTCCTTCTCCTAGTAAGACCCTCAACCCACGGAGTCCTGGGTGATGCTGTGAGCGCGGGAGGACGGACTGAACTGCGTGGTGCTTCGCACATAGTCCTCAACAGAGATTGGCATTTTGAAGTTGTTGGCGGGGGCTGTGGACTGCCTTTCTTCCTTTCTAACTCAACGGCAGCTAAAGCCACTGCACACAATGCAAGGACTGGCTCCTGTTTGACCATGTCTGATTGTAGCCCCTGGTGAAATGAGAACCTTGTGGGTCGGAACAAAGTTTGGATTATTTATGTGGCAAGTAACCAAAATCTCAAGTGAAACTGGTTTAAACAATATATTTTTATTATTTATTTACTTATTTATTTATCTATATTTAATTCTTTTTTAGAGACAGGGTCTTCTTATGTTGCCCAGGCTGGTCTTGAACTCCTGGCCTCAACGATCTTCTCACTTCAGCCTCCCGAGTTGCTGGGATTATAGGTGTGAGCCACCATGCCTGGCTTAAACAGTATAAAGGGAATGCATTGGCCCACACAGTGGAAAAAATGAAATCTAGTAGGAATAGGACTTCAGGTGAAGTTTGATCCAGCAGCTCAAATGTCACCACAGGCCTGGATTCCTCTGGCCTTTCTCAAGGTCTCTTTCATTTTCATGCTCCACAAGGTGGCTTCTGCCAGGCTGACCTCCCTCCCCTGACCCCAGCAGCTCTGGACACCCCTCTCAATGCCATTTATGTTGTTGCATCAATAGGCTCATTTCTATATACTGCAAGGTTCAGAGAAGAGAGAATCTCTCTCCCAAGAGTTGTAACAGAAGTCTGGGGGTCCTGGCTCTCATCAGCTTGAACAGGCCCACATGTCCACTCCTGAACCAGTATTTGTGACCAGGGGGATGTGGTCTATCTCATCCAAACCTCACTTGAAGTGAGGGTGGGAGGAGGAGTACTTGCAAGGACTCTAGGTCTGGACCACCAAAAAGGTAGATGGGTTGGTGAGAAAAGCCAGATGCCTACTACGGTGGTGGGCGGGGGGAGGGCACACTGGCGAGGTGCGGCAAGAGGCAGGGGCAGTGCTGGCCAGGCAGGGGCTCCTCCCTAGCACGACTGGAGAAAGGACTCCTGTGAAGCAGCCACCTCCATGAGTCCTTGCTGTCCTGGCTTCTAACCACTCTGAGGTGGGGCTTTCGTCTGCAGACCTGGCCTCTGCTGCCTACCCTCTTCTGCCCCCACCCGATGGGGCTGCTTTCCTTCTGAAGCAGCCACATTTTGGGTTTTTCTCCACAGGAAGAGTTGGGGGTCACAGGCACACCCTCTCCCTAACTCTTTTCCCCCAGTTCAAACTGGATCCAGGGATCCACACTCTGCTCCGAGAGGCCAGCAAGCAGCCACTGGAAAATGAGCCAGTGGGAGAGGCAGCTCCATGTGTACTGATCAGCAGACTGTGTCTTTTTGTTTGAAACTTCTAAATAAGATTACAAAAAGAAAAACAATGGAAGCACTGTGTGTTAACTGCATTGATTAACCAACACTGGAACCCAATACACTCTTGTATTAGGCCCACATTTACCTGAGTACTCAGTGGTTTTCTGTCCTAAGCATGCTCGCCTGCTACATCCCATGGAGGAAATAAACAGTGAAACACTTTCCTCATCTTGAAGGCAATCGTCTCAGGCATCCTCCAGGCATAATGAAGGGGGTGAGTGAGGGTGCGAGGCGGAAAGGTCCAGGCCGCAGCTGTGACTCCCGCGGGTGAACCACAGCCCCAAATCCAAAGACGCTCTTGCCACATCATGACAAGTGTTCAAAAGAGAACCAGGTCCAGCCCTGGAGAAATGAAACCAAAAGCCAACTGAAAGAATGACCCTCCCCCAAAAAGCGACCCTGCCCGCAAGCCATCCAAGTGCGGTGAGTTCGGACAAGAATGGACAGATGCTGCGGGACTGGTGCAGGAGGTAGAAGCCGCAGTAGAAGGCTGTTGTGTGCCGCCCCTCCCTGGGAGCTGGGGAGATTCCCAAGTCTTAGTGCAGTGTTTCTTTACAAACGGGATCAGGAGACCCTCACTGGCAGGCTGACAACTTGGAAGCAGACTGTGGGAGCAATAGGCTGGAGTTTTCATTTTCCCTTTAAACTCAAGACCGGAAGGTTTGTGTTATGCGATACCATATGCTGTGTAGAAAACAGGGCCTCAGCTTCTTAGATGTTGTAGTTCTAGAGTTTAGGTACTTCCACCCTCCCTCCTATACATAAACACTCTGGGGAAGAGGTTCTTTGAAAATTGGGGTGGTGCAGGAAGGGCAACAGTGGCGGTGAGCAGGCCCCAGGGTCGGCCCTGCCGCCCTGCCGTGTGGGGTGGGGAGACCGCTGGTGATGTGGACACATTCACAGAACTTTGTACTGGTCCTGGGAAGATACAAGTCCTCACTTGGTCACCATCCCTAATATTTTCTAGTGTGTTCTTTTCCAGTCAACTTTTCATGATGAATGACTTCATGTAAGAGGATATTAAGAAAAGTGGCCACATGATTTCCCTTTTTTTTTCTTTCTTTCCAAGAACATTACCAGGTGCCAGCAGGGAAAGGACCGCGCTGCCTGACGTCACTCCCACCTGAGGGCGCAGGGGCAGGGAGGTCACAGCGCCTGAGAGGTTTCCCTCCACGGAGAAATCGGAGACCTCAACCTGCTGCCCTCTAAAGAAGCTTTCTGTATCCAGACAAAACTTACATACGTACACGTTGTTTTAAAACGACATACTCATGTGACATACATGGATATAAATTCATGTTTATATATGACAATTGAGCAGAGTTAAATAACAAGATAATTCTGGATGGAAAAATCAGCTTGCCTGGGCATCTCTAAGCCTTTGGTCAAGTGAATTCCCTCTTCCCTTCCTCAGTTGACCCTTTGGTGACCTCCACTGTGGTTGCAGACTTCAGGTGGTCCTCACGCATTTACAGAACTGTCTGCTTAGATTACAGCACTTTGGGAGGCCGAGGCGGGTGGATCACGCGGTCAGGAGATGGAGACCATATTGACCAACATGGTAAAACCCCGTCTCTACTAAAATAGAAAAATTAGCCAGGCGTGGCGGCGCGTGCCTATTTTTCCAGCTACTTGGGAAGCTGAGACAGGGGAATCGCTTGAACCTGGGAGGCGGAGATTGCAGTGAACCGAGATCATGCCACTGCACTCCAGCCTGGTGACAGAGTGAGACTCCGTCTCAAAATAAAAATAAAAATAAAAATAATAAAATGATAAATGGTTCTTTTCTATGCATCTAACGAATTTAAGTGCTTGCTAAGACTAAAAACCACATTATGCATTTCCTTCTCTTAAAACTAAATTATGTGGAAAGTAAGCTAGGGAGTGTGAGGGTGGGCATCTGGATATAAATGCTTCTCCCAAGTCAAGATCTTCTCTTTCAATCTGTGCCTTTGACCCTGTCACCAAAGGCAGGTGACAGAAAAAAAAATTATGTGACTTTTGGAAGACTCGGTGGGACGGTTCTGATTTCACTCACTTCTGGTGCCCCGTACCATGTGGCTGTCGCTGTTTTGTGTCTCTTCCTGCATAAATAATGGTGGATGGCACCTACCTCCCCAAGCTGGTGCCCACAGAGGGGGAGGCACCTGACATAGTTGTCTGAGCAGCGGTCCAGAGAGGTTTACTCAGGGGATTTGGGGAGAGCACACTCTGGGGCCAAAGTACAGGTATGTGCCCGAATCCTGCCTCATGACAGGCATTCATGATACGAACCACACAGCCTTTAAAGAAAAGCTTTTATATGAAAGGTTCCATTCTGTTTCTGTATAAAGGGCTTTTATCCTGTAAGGAAAAAAAAAAACCCTAAATATAATAAATGCCTGTTTTCTACAAAAACAATGTCTAACTCTGGGTGGACTGATCTCTTCTCAACAGCCCAGGGCAGGGCTGGTCCCTCATTCACCTGTGTCTACAGGGCCGAGGACACTGCACACACTAGGACAGGATTTGGCTGAATTTAAATCCTGCCACCCACCAAGGAGACTTGGGGATATTTACCGGTTGAGGGCCACACTAAACAATCACTGCAGAGAACCACCTCTTTTCCTTACTGTAGTTTAAGTATGATACGTGGGTTCTGCTATTACTTACTGGAAAAACTAGTAAGAAAAGCTCATCTTCAGGCTTCAATGTGATTTGACGTGCAAACGGGAAGTTTTGCCAGGGGTTAATAAAGATTGTGAGTTCCAAATTCCTAGCCGAATATGGCTTTGCTGGAAAGCCCCCTGGAGGGGAGGCTGGGAGGGCTGACCAGGTGGTCATCGGGGCAGTGGGACGGACGCACGCTGGGGCCTGGCTGCCTGCTCTGCAGAATGGATGGGGGATCCACAGTGCATCCCCCTTCCAAGCCCAGGAGGCATCTGTCGCCTTCTCTTTGGTAGACAGTCTGGAGACAGCAGAAACCCTCTGCTCTGTTTTTTGCCGCTCTAAATATAGCAGAAAACAAAATAAAATAAATAAGATAATCTTTGCTGCCTCCTGGTGCCCTCTGAGGGCCAGACAGCTGCTCCCGAGTCGTTCATGAGAACGAACAGCCCAGGCAGCCTGAAGACCCAGCCACTCCGCGTAAGCCCCGGCTCCCTTCCTGGGGTTCCCGGGACGCACCAGGCCCATCCCCATGCGTGCTCCAGGCAGATTCTGAGGACTCTTTGGACAATTTCTCTTTCTTCTCAACCATTCAATCTCCTAATCCACCTCCTACCCCCAATATTTTCATAGAAACAAAGGGAATTTTGGAGGTGAAAGAAGTCATCTAGTTTCCAGTGTCCACCCTCCCCATTCTACAGATGGGGAAACTGAGGCATAGAGAGGGCAGTGCCTTGCCCAAGGTCCTTTGGTGAGTCAGTGGCGGAGCAGGCCTGAGGCCCGGGTCCTCCAGTTCCCGCCCCGTTCTGCGGCCCGCCCCTCAGTCGGCCTTGGGCAGGGACTTCCTGTGCGAGGGTGGCACGAGGTGGGGGGGCAGGCTGCTGGGCAGCTCGTAGCCATCGAGCTTGATCTTGATGAGGTGCTTGGCCAGCGCGAACTCCTCCTCGTCCAGCATGCCATCGCAGTCGCAGTCGGCCAGCTTCCAGATCTTGCCCAGGACGCTGTTGGGCAGCTTGGAGGTCACCATCTCCTTCTTGGCGTTGACACCCGATATTTTGCCATTGATGGGCGACAGAGTGTAGAAGAGCTCGTCGTAGACGGGCTTGTCTTTGGCCACGACCCACTCCTCCTCGTCGGCGCCCTCCTTGGCGCCCTCCCCGTAGCCCTGGTTGAAGGGGCCCTCAGTGGTGCCGTCGAAGGCGCCGCCCTGCACCAGCTGCGTGGGCGTGCTCATCTCCTCCTGGCTGATGAGGTTCATGAGGGGCGAGATCTTGTTGCTCAGCATGTTGTCCACTGCCTCGATCAGCTTGGGCTTCAGCGAGTGGAATTTGGTGAAGTCGTAGTTCTCAAGCTGTTCCTGCAGAAGGACAAACCACAGGATGGGTTACATGCGGTCTCTTCAGGGGGAAACAGCTGGGGGCCGTTGGAGGGAGACTAATTCTGCCCCGGGCAGACGCCCACCACGCACTACTCAGGAGTGCATTCTTTGGGAGCTTCCCGTATCCAAATGTACCAGATATAGGAGCGGTTTTTTTGGAACAAGAAACAGGTGTTTTCCTACGGCAGCCAATCTCCGCTGGTGGCCGCACGAGTGACAGCAACCTCTGAGGACTCTGAGAAACCTTTTTTCACCTGCCTTTTTAAAATGCTCTAGAGCTAGTATTCTATTTCTCAAGGGAGTTCACCACACACTTCAGCCGATCTTCACAGCAATCCTGGGAGGAAGGAGGGGCAGGCATTTAGAACCCCATTTTCCAGGGAGCTGTGAGGGGCTGTCTGGCAGAGGCAAGGCAGAGTCCCTGTCTCCTGGCTCTTCGCTAATGCTCTCCGAGTGGGAACACAGAGCTGTGACAGAAGGACTGTATTTATGTAAAACAATTAATTAAATACCTTGTTTTCAGAGCACCTAAAAAATGTAGTTTAGGGCGCCTTCTCAGTGGCTCTAACCTCTCATGAATGAGCTGAGGGGTCTACTCAACAGGAACCCTGTAGGACCAGCCCCACCAAGCACGGCCTGACCAGGAGCACCCACGCTACCCCAGGAAGGTATCGAGGCAGGGCCATGGAGACCTTGCACATAAAAAATAATCATCATGGATCCACTGTCATCTCAAAAATATGGACAAGTAAGCAAAAGCTGGAACTTGTAAGAGCAGGGAGTAGGGCTGGGGAGCCCGAGGGAATACACGTAGCCAGTAGGCCTGAATATCACTGGCCAGGTCAGGACAGGTCTTAGCTCCACCTGTTGAGCGAGGCAGCCTGTCAGCCCACAGAGCAGCAGAAGCACAGGCTCTAGAGGGGGCCTGGTAAACATGACTGCCCACCCAGGCTGGGGCAGACTACAGGATGCCACAGAGGCTCTGTGGACGGCACTGAAGAAAATGACCTTCCTACCTTGGTTCTCCTTGGTTACTCCATCCATCCGTCCATCCATCCACCTGTCCAATCAACCCTCTATCTAACCATCCATCCATTCAATCAACCCTCCATCCATCCATTCAGCCAACAATTCATCCATCCACCCACCTGCCCAACTTTTATTTGTCATTTACTCTGCACCAGCCCCTGTTCTGGGGCTTGGGGATATAGAATAAATATGAAAAGCCATAGTTCCTGCTTTAAATGAGCTTATGTTGTAATGGAGGACAGACACTCTAATTGTTTAAAAAAGGACCTGACATAACACAGTGAAAAGGATAACATGAAATTAATAAGTCATTAGAAAGGAAAAAGCCAAGTCATTAAAAGGGAGAGCGGCCAGGCTCGGTGGTTCACGCCTGTAATCCCAGCACTTTGGGAGGCCAGGGTGTGAGGACTGCTTGTGCCCAGGAGTTCAAGACCGGCCTGGGCATGAGACCTATATATATATGTGAGGGAGAGGAAGGGAATAATCACATCAGATGGCTGAGGTTAAGGAAAACTACTGCCTGGATATGGAGAAGAGCTCAGTTGCCCAGGGGGACCCCTGGGGACCTTCACTGTCTAAGGAGAGAAAACACTTGTTTATTGCAAGAGACAAACTTTCCATGGCCCTGAACTGTGAGAGTTACCTAGAGTTTTGCACGAGGAGCTTCAAAGATCTGATGAAAAATGTCTTCAACAGTAGTTTTATCAAACAAATGCAGAAATGTTCCAGGTATGGTAGGTTTTATGTGTGAAGTATTTCTGTATGTACAGTTCTAGAGGGGGCCAAAAGACAGGCCATGCAGGTGTGCAGTTTTCTGGAGATGAGGCAGGGAGATTTGCAAGGAAAAGTCAGACCTTGCTGTTTTGGACAGAAGCAATGTGACACGCTGCTAGGGGAAAAAAACAAAAACCAAAAAACAAAAAAAAAAACTTGGTGTTATCATAAATATGCTTTCTGACTGAGAAACTGAGAAAAAACTGGTAAGCAAAACTAAAAATTTAAAATAATTTATAATCTCATCATCTGGCAAAAATCTCTGCTAGCATATCTGGGCATGCATTTCTAGCCATTAACACATACACACAGACACACACATGCATGCACATACACACACACACACACACACACACAGAAACAATACCATACTGTTAACAATATGTCATATATTTCTGTGGTATTAATTTTTACATAACCTTTCTCTTAACAGCTACAGAATATTGAACTTAGACTGCAGAGCTGGGCCATTCTTCATTTACCCTGTCCCCTGTAGCTGGACACACAGGTTGTTTCCAATAGAGAATCAAAATCATGGTCTCTAGGGTGGCAGGGCAGGAATTCTGGGCTGACATTTGGAAGGGGATTCCCGGCTGGTAGACGGTGGGGGGACAGAGCTGAGAAATATCAGCTAAACGGGCTGACATTTCTCTAGGGAGGGGACTCTGACATTCTTCTCAGGTAGCAACGTCAGCAGCCATTGAATCGTGCAAACCCAGCGTGTGGCCCCTGCTCAGCTCAGAGCAGCGGGTACTGCAGGCCGGGTCTCTCAAACGCAGTCACTAGCATTCACTCCTGACATCAGCACCAAACAATGCGGCCTGCACTGCGGGCTCCTACCACCAACGTCTCAGTCAGCCGAGGAGATGGAAAAGAGAAAGCTAAGCAGGTGGAAGAGCAGGCATCCCCCACAAAAATCCCGGCGCTGCTGGCTCAACAAGTTTGGATTCCCCGGGTGCGTGAACACCTACCCTATTTCCTTAAGAATGAGCCTGTGCTCGGAGCGCACACAGAGCCCCTGTGTCTGGTCCAGCAGACAAAGGAGGGTGATGCCTGCCCAGACTTCCCACCAGCCTGCAGGGGCCGTGGATTCCGACTGCAGAGCTCTGGAAAACTGGCGGGGGAGCGGCCGCATATTTGCGGGGTGGACAGGAGGCAGCAGTTATTCCCGTCCTGGGAGGCAGGCAGGAAATAAACTCTCCATTCTCATCCCTGTGGTCCCCCCCAGGCTTGACCGGGGACTGCGGGGGCACCAGTTAAACCATCATCATGTCACTCCTGACATCAGCACCAAACCATCATCATCCCTGCCCTCTGCCAGGGTGAGTCCAAAATAGTTCTTATTGGGATGAATACACACTGGGGAACTTAAAGGTATTTGCCCATCGACAGTTGTATCCACTGAGCTAGGACCCTGGAATTGCTCCCTCTCAAGAGGCAAAGGTCCGTTCCCAGCCCCCGTCTCCGGTAGGGCTGTCCCTTGCTCATTAATTGCCAACATTCACCAGAAGAGTTTGCAAATCCACCAGAGGGTCTGAGCAGACGGGGCTGACTCTGCTGCCCTCTGCTGTTGAAATGCTGCCAACTCATGAGCTGAGGGGTCCAAATTCTCCTTCCAGTGGGAAGGTCAGAGTCAGCAGTCGCGGTGGCCCTTCTGGCGCTCATCTCGTCCTGCAGTATTGACACTGTGCTGTCAGTCATGGTCCCTCCCCAGAGTGTGCCAGGCACGCACCGGCAGCCACACAGGTGGGTTGCAGGGCCTGTCCCAGCACAGGGAAGAGCCTTCAAAATACATGCTCCTCTCACTGCTACAGCTAAGAGTCACTCTGACTAGCTGGCTCCATGAGAGAACAGGGAGAACAGCAACCTATACTGGCATCAGCAAACTCTCCGTGTGACCCTGATCTGTGCAAAGATCACAATATGGTCACGTCTAAGCGTATGCCCACTCTCTGTCAAGGCCTATGTTGTAGAGGATGTTAGACTTTAACAGTCTCAGGGATGGGAGAGGCCCTAATCCACATATGTGCCCCTCAAAGCTTCCGGTGACAGCAAGGTAGCTTGCAGTATCAGGTGTCACTGAGCATTCCTGACAGGCTCCATGCTGCCTTATTCCTGGGGATTCTCTGAAGGAATCGGGTGGTGTGACTGGACCTCAGCTTACTTCCCAAGAAGGCCTCTTCCTGTAGCTTCCAGGCCTTGGCACTGGGAACCCCTGGTCTATAAGCCCTGTGGGAATCGAGGCTGGGTCAGGGCCTGAGAGCCTGCTGTGATATGGCCTTACACTAACTTACCAATTCATTCGGCATGTGTTAACTGAGTACTCACTACGTCCTAGATGCTGGGGATATGGCAGTGAACAGGGCAGGGGTCACTGATCTCATGGAGCCGCAGACTTATGTGGGAGAGAGATGCTAAATATCAGATATCAGATAATCCAATTACACGGAAGCACAACGGTGCTCATATTGTAAGAAGAAACATGTGTCCTGACAATGGGGTTGTTGTCAATTATTTTTACCTCCATTTGTTCATTTTTTCTGTTTTTTGAGACAGGTCTCCTCTGTCGCCCAGGCTAGAGTGCAGTGGCACAATCATGGCTCACTGCAGCCTTGACCTCCTGGGCTTAAGCCATCCTCCCACCTCAGCCTCCCAAGTGGCTGGGATCACAGGCATGAGCCAACCACATCTGGCTAATTTTAAAATATTTTAATGGATACAGGGTCCTACTATGTTGCCCAGGTTGTTCTCCAACCCCTGGACTCAAGTGATCCTCCCATTTCGGCCTCCCAAAGTGCTGGGATTACAGGCATAAGCCACCATGTCCAGCCCCATTTGTTCATTTTTTTTTTTTTTTTCTGATTTATTCCAGGGGCCTAGAACAGTGATAGCAGCAGGAGGCAGACAAATGCTGAGGCAGACAGGGGCGGGTCTCCAGTGAAACTCTATCTTCAAGCCAAAGGCATTTTAAAGCCTGCAGGCCAAGCTACAAGTCAAATCCACAGACCAGACTGAGAACGTGTCTTCCCATTTGGCTGCTTTTCTTTGATTGATCCCTACCCTTCACCTATTTTACATATACCTACCCTTCCCTAATTGTTTTTACACTGTCATGCCCACCTTTCACTGGTGCCTTTGTTTTAATCTTTTTTGTATACTCACAAATCAATCAGCATGCACTCCTCTAACCTGTGCCTATAAAAACCCCAGACTCAGCCACACTGGGGAGATGACCTGACTTCGGGAGAGATGACCCAATCTTCCCATCCCCTCTTCACTGAGAGCTGTTTCGTTGCTCAATAAAATCCTCCACCCTCATCACCCTTCAATTGTCAGCACGACCTCATTCTTCTCGGATGTGGGACAAGAGCTTGGGACCCACCAAATGCAGATACCCAGAAAGGCTGTAACACTGGCCCTCCACCCTCACTGGTGGAGGGTAGCCATGCCACTCAACAGAAGTAGTGGTGGGGCCCAGCTGGTCCAGAGCCATGGGCCAGAGCAGGGTAAGAGGGTGACTGAGCTGCTAACATTATGCAGAACTAAAAGAGCTAATTAGCATACTGTAACACCCCTTCTGGGGCTTTGGGGTTGCAGGCATCCCTGCCTGGGCACTGCCACATTCCCCTTGGGGTGACAGACCTGGTCTGGCTGCAGACCCTGCACAGAGCCTGCTCCCATGTCAGCACTTGGAGTGGCTGGCTGGATCCTGCACTTGCTTGCTCACCCACCTTCAGTGGTGCTAAGGTACTGGGCATAGACCTGACTCCAGGTGATTCTCAGCAAAGGCTCAGCCCTCCTTGTATCCTCCATCTCAGTGGGCCACGGCTGCTCCTGAGATCATGCTTTCCTTGTTGCCTTCCCCCAGCTCAGAGGACCCTGGGTGTCTTCTGACCTGGCCATCCCAGGCTAGCTTTGTCATGAGTAGCTCTGGTTCCAGAGTCTGCTCTCTACGATATCGGGCTCACAGGGGACCAGCAGAAGAGGCCTGGCAAGGGAGGAATCTGCAGAGCCCCAGGGCTCAAGAGCAGCGTCTCCCCGCGGCGAGGCACTGTAGCAACTTCAGGAAGCAAGGGTGACAGAGTTTCTCTTTCGCCTGGCCTGCTCCACTGTTTGTGTTATTGGGTAGTGGCTGCAGGCATCTGAGTTTGTGGCTCCTGCTTTACAGAGAGGACTGTGGCCCCCAGGGCAGAGGGGTCCCTGCACCAGATAAGAAGACAGCCAGCCTGGCTCTGTGAGGACTGTCAGCCCAGACGACAGACGGGTGGCCTCACTTGTGAGGGCACACTCATCTAATAGCAGTACGGACAGGTAGATATGCTGGTCGGGCCGGGGCGGCTGAATGCAGCACCCGTTGTTGCCTGGCTAGAGCCGCCCGGCCACAACTCAAGAGAGGCCTTGACAGCGGGCCAACGGCTGCCCAGCGCCAGCCTTTAAGCATGGTCCTCCCTGTGCCCACACAGTCCAGCAGCGTCCGCAGAGCCCCACAGCCCCTGCTGGAGCCCTTGAGCCTGCAGCAGCAAGGCCGCCTGAGCACATAATCCCACAGCGTGGGGCAGGTCCGGGCAGGGCTGGAGGAGGCCGCCCAAGGTGACCCTCAAGGCCACTCCCAGCTCTGATTCCCTCAAGGTTCTGGGATTCCAAAAAGCAGTGTCACCGCAACACCAACCAGCCTCCTGGGACACAGTCTGAGAGGGCTGCTCACCTGACTTTCTCACGGGAGCTTCGTTTGCCTTTGGCCATGTGTCTCCTTTGTTTACTCATTTTGGAAGACAGACAATTTCTGATTTATTCATAGCCTATTATCATGGATCACCACTAGGAAGGCGCATTCTCCTTGATCCTAAACCATGAGACCCTCATGTGTCTCCAGCAAACAGTCAGACAATGTGGCACTGCATCTCCACCTTCTGCCCATGACATTGTGAGGGGCTCCCAGTACCTGCATAGCCTTGACCTCGGGGAAGTCCCCTGCAGAAATCTGGTATTCTCGCTGTAGCTGAATATAGATTTCCGGTAGCCTGCTGATAAGCTCTCTCTTCTTGTTTTCCTTTCCAAATACACTTGGCATCTCCTTCTTCAGGTAGCTGATGATGTAGGCATGCACCTGGAGGGGTACAGATCAGGCAGGGAAGTGTCATTTAGAATTGCACCAGAGAAGGAACAAACAAGATCGCATCTTAACTCCATCATAACACATAGCAGGTACCCACACAGACCAGGTCCCAAGCACAGGAGGAGGGGAGGGTACAGGGGGAGTGCAGCTGTCCAAGGGTGGCTGGAATGCGGCCAGACTTGGGGAAATTCTACGGTTACTGTTCCGTTGTGCCTCTGAGTGGCAATTCTGGTGCCTGTAGGGAGTGAGTGGTATGGGTGGGGCCTGGGTGGGAGAGCTCTTAGTTCTGGCAATTAACCAGAATACTCAAGAGAAAGTTTCACCAGGCTGGTGCCTGGGAGCACCAGGAAATGAAACTGGAGGCTGGTGTCAATGGCTGATCAACATGGAAATCTGTACCCAGTGAACAATTTGATGAGAACTCCCATAACCCCCGTTGTGGGAGGTTTAGACTCTGAGATCTCTGCAGGCGGAACGAAAGTCATTCTGCACAAGACCAGCTGCCTGGGATCAGGCTGGATGGCAGAAGATCCCTCTGGGAGAGGAGCCCAGAAACCTTGATCACTGGGGCCTGGGGTCTGTCATTGGAGGGGAGAGAATCTGGCCTTAACATTTCCACTCTTCTACTGATTTCCAGCTTCAGGATATTGAGAAAAGTTCACTATAAAAGTTCTCTTTGTATATCTGTTTTTTTTGGATGGAATCTCTGTGGAACGGCACGATCTTGGTTCACTGCAACCTTCACCTCCTGGTTCAAGCGATTTTCCTGCTTCAGTCTCCCAAGTAGCTGGGATTATAGGTGTGAGCCATCACGCCCAGCTAATTTTTGTATTTTTAGTAGAGATGGGGTTTCACCATGTTGGGTAGGCTGGTCTTGAACTCCTGACCTCAGGTGATCCACCCACCTTGGCCTCCCAAAGTGCTGGGATTACAGGCATGAGCCACTGTGCCCGGCCTCTTTGTACATCTTGAATTCCAGAGTAATTGAAGAAAACAGGCTTCTACTGTAATCTTGTGGAAGTTGAAATTAAATAAAGGGGGTAAGCAGATACGTTCTGTAGCTCAGCTGAGGGCCCGTGTGTGGACACATGCTGGACACAGCCAAAAACCTTTTGCGAGGATTCGGACGCTAACCTAAGTACCTAATGCAAGGTCTGACATGCTGAGGTCAGATAATGCCAACTTCCCGTCTGCACAAGGGTCGTTTAACAGAAGCAGACACTGTGCAGCCTGGCTACCGCTGAGAGGATGGACTTGGAGAGAGAACGCTAAACTTTTCTGTCACCAGCAAACTTGTTTATGTCCTTATTTTTCAAATGAAGACAACTGAAATGATTTACAAGATTCTTAGAGATAACTAGAGAAACCCAAAGTTTGGGATCCGTTATTTAGAACCGTGGGCTTTAACCGCGCTCCTGAGGCTGTGATGAGCAAGTGGTAAGCTACCAATTCCTTTGCCTCCGGCAGTGAATGCCTGGCTTGGTGTGGGTGGGCTGGGGAGGGCCAGGGCTGGCGGAGCACCCTCAAACTGGAGGGGCTGCCATGTTCCATCAGGGAGAACCAGCTGCTCACCAGCTGTCCTCGCATCATTTCCTTGGTGCAAGGAACTCTGGACTGGGCCTATGTATATATTCTTCGTGTATACCTATGTGTACTCTCTCTTCTGTGCTCAGGCTCACCCCACCCTGGAGCCACCCCAAGGGAAGCAGGAGGCCCCCATAGCTGCTCAGTCTCCCAAACACAAGGGCTTCTTATTGAGACACCCCCCTTCTCTGCCCTGGGGCCCCACCCTGGAGCAGCTGCCTAGGCCCCTACAGGGCTTCCCAAGACCCCTCACCACCTACTAGTAAGGTACCTCTGAGCTGCCCGTTCCCCCAGCTCAGGGAGGGCTTAGTTCCCACTCATCTGTCTGACTGCTCGCCCAGTCCCTGCCCCCCGCCCCCAAAGTTGGGCACACTGTTCCTGAACACTCCCTGGTGCCCAGGGCCCGCTTTACCTGCACTGAACTCAGCTGATGTGCACCTGCCGCACCCTCCACCCACTGAGTGGCACCTGCTCCGTCTCAGGCCTCGTGGTGTTTGCTGGCTGATGACCGAGGCTGCCCCAACACTAGCCCTCCAGCGCCCTGACAAACCTGGGGCTCATCTCGTGCCAGGTCTCAACTCCCTCCTCCTTCCACCAGCCTGGTGCCACCTGAGTCATGACCCTTAGGTGACCTGCTCACACTGCGGCTGCTCTCGGCCCCAGCCTCCACTTCTGGGAAGTTCCATTAGCCTGTTTTGTGGAAGTCTCCTGTTACGCTGCCTCTGCACATCCACCTGCCTCCTGCCCTTCCTGGTGCATCCTAGGTAATAACCCAGGGCCAGCTTCTGTGCACGGACCTGCTTTCAGAAGTTCATCAAGTTGGCTGGGTGCAGTGGCTCACGCTGGTAATCCCAGCACTTTGGGAGGCTGAGGCAGGTGGGTCACTTGAGGTCAGGAGTTCGAGACCAGCCTGACCAACATGGTGAAACCCCGCTTCTACTAAAAATACAAAAATTAGCTAGGTGTGGTGGTGTGCTTCTGTAGTCTCAGCTACTCGGGAGGCTGAGGCAGGAGAATTGCTTGAACCCGGGAGGCGGAGGTCACAGTGAGCTGAGATTGCCCCACTGTATTCCAGCCTGGGCAACAGAGCAAGATTCCATCTCAAAATAAATAAATAAATAAATAAATAAATAAATAAATAAATTCATCAAGTCACAAGGTAAATTATAATTCTTGGCATCATGGAGTACTGAATCTGGAAGTGACCCCCGATATCTAATTTAATTCCTGGTCCCAGGACATCCATGTGACTCACTCAAGGTCACACAGCTAGTTGGCAGATGCGGAGCTGGCACTAGCATCCAAGTGCCTCATTCCTGTCCTGAAAGAACTAATGACTCCCTGTGGGTATGCGTTCATAATCTTACTGAAGTTGTTCAAAATCTGGAATTGAAAATGAACTGTGTCCCACAGAATGAGTTTGGAAAACTTTGATCTGAGGTTTGACTTCTGATCGTGTCTAATTCACTGAGAGGCTTTGGAATGGTCCTTTATTCTCCCTTTCCCCACACATCAAACACGGACACAGTGATGGCACACACACGTCAGGACACCACGTGGGAATGCGGGTGAAGACTGCGAGCTGCTGGCGGGATGGAACCCTGTCATTTTCTAAAGTCGTCTGGTAAACAGACGGGACAGCCTGAATGGCTAAAATTCACAGTCAGCCTCCAGAGCTCACTCCTGCACTTATGTGTCAAAGGTGTCTCCAAATACATGCCAGACTGAGGACCAGACCTGGCGGTTGTCCCTGGGGAAGGAGGTGGAAACACACGGGTCTTCTGACCTTTATACCGAGATAAAACTTATTGGGAAGAGGAGGAGTAGGAAAGAGAAGAGGGGGACTAGACCTAGCGCTGGAAGATGAGGCTCAGGCCCCGTGACCACTGCCTACCCACTGAGCAACTTGGGGCCAGGCGTGGGATCTCCGCCTCAGCGTGCTCATCCACAAATTAGACATGACAGCAACATTCAGCTCACAGAGTTATTATGAGAATAGCAGAGGCCATGCATTTGAATGCACTCAGCTCACTAGAAAGAAGAGTAAATGCAACTTGTTATCAACTAATGGCCAAAGACCAACAGCTGGAGGTGCAGAATGCGCGAGAGGGCTCCTGGCTGGTTACTCCTTACCAAATAATTAATAAACTCTCTCTATTTAAATAGTAATAAAATGAATTTGGGTTCCAAGTGTTTAATTTACATTGACCCCTGGGGGCTTCTGAACATTCGTATCTTGTTCAAGTCATCCTTTGCCCTGTGTAAAGTTGCAGAAGCCCCAAGGCATCTAACGGGGATGACTGGGGGAAATCAAAAGGATCAAAATGACAAATGAGTTTTTCTCTAGGCTAATAACTCAATAAGCAGAAAGGAATGTCCTCCCCTTTAAATGTATACGAATGCATATGTAGTTCACACTTTCACTCTGACACAGGTCTCATTAATTGCATCCAATGATGTGTGTGTGTGTGTGTCTCCAAGACTGAGACACACATACTAAAAGAGTGATACTGGCCACATCTACTCTGGGCTTGGAGGGTAAGTTCAGCGAGTGCTGGATGCTGGCAGTGACCAGTGCTGGAATGAAAAGCTTCATGGAATGTGAGGATCAGGCAGTAGGTGGGGGAAGGTGGGCTGGGAAGGCATGGTGACGCCTGTGCCACGCTCATCCGCAAACTTAACGCGACCTGCTGGAGATCTGCGGCTTTGGACTGGAAACCTGCATAGAGTATTTAAAGCCAGGGTATCAGCACGTTTATAAAGTGGGTTTATGATAATATAAAAAATTCAGTTAATAAGCCCGAGACCCAAAAGATGAACCCATGGGGTAACAAGAGTGTGAGACTGTGAGAGGCAGAGAAAGGCGGCTGACGTGTTCCCACTTGAGCAAGGGTTTGTTATGCTGTTCAGATCAAAACTGGCTCCAATGGCATGAGTAATTCTGTGCAGCCTCAAAGGGGACTGGAGGGGGCCACACAGTCGTCTGAGGTCAACCTTCAAAGAGACAGGCTTCCATTTATGGGCTCAAGCACTGACACACACACGTCCACAGGAGCTCAGGGCTGCTGACCGAGTTATTTTTAGAGCCCTGCCGAGGACTAGGCAATACCACGATCTTCATGATCCATCATATCATGATTCTCACACACTTTAGCCTGAATCCATTTGGTGCACCAAAAATGTATCATTTCTTTATAGGAGTTTTTTTTTTTTTTTTTTTTTTGAGATGGAGTCTTGCTTTGTCGCCCAGGCTGGAGTGCAGTGGCATGATCCTGGTTGACTGTAACCTCTGACTCCTGGGTTCAAGCGATTCTCCTGCCTCAGCCTCCTGAGTTGCTGGGATTAAAGGCGCCCGCCACCACGCCCAGCTGATTTTTGTATTTTTAGTATAGATGGGGTTTCACCATGTTAGCCAGGCTGGTCTCGAACTCCTGACCTCAAGTGATCCGCCCGCCTCGGTCTCCCGAAGTGTTGGGATTACAGGCGTGAGCCACCGTGCCCGGCCTATAGAAGGAATTTGACAGTGCAAACAGACAGGAAAGCCAGGCTCTGCACATCACATGTGACTGAGAAGAGTCTATGTTTGAAAGAATAAGCTAAATTCCACAGAACTAAAGTGAACTTTGAGAATCACTGAGCTCTCCTCTTCTTTCTCAGTTTTACTTGTTTCTTCCTCAAATGTTGCCTCATTTTTGTTGAGCAAAGATCTCCAAATGGGTGACAGCCTTTCCTATTCTTGGGCAATATGTTTCTAAAGGGTGGGGTCTGACAGTGAACTTGCACTGTTTGGGATTTGTACGAGTATAATTTCTTTAATTTGGCTATTTTAGTTATAGCTGAATAAAAGTAAACGATATTTTCCAAACCCTTTTTTTGAGCTTTCGCAAAATAGCTTCCTTTAAAGAATCATGAAACGAACCCTGATTGGCATCTCAGAGTGTGAGCCGCCTTCCAAGAAGGATGTCTACTGAGACTGTAAGAAGTGATCTTTGAGGCTAACCAAAAACCCACTCTAAAGGTTTCCTGTTCCTTAAATACAGAGTTGTGAAAAAATATATATAAACAGAAAAAGCAGGGAAATAAACTTCAAGAGCTCTTTGGGAAGAGTATCTACTTTTCACGTGATTAAAATGTCACCTTTATGACACTTGGAGTTTGATTAAAATGATGACGCACTTGTTTTATCTGGATGGGCCATGAATCCTGGTTCATTATGGTGTTCTATAAATAAACATACTCCACAACCCAACTCAGACTTGACGCCTCTTAGCTGACATCTGAAAACTTACCCTTTGCATGTTTTCAGTGTCAGCTTGATAAACCTAAACTTTGCAGGGTTTCTGTGGATGGAGACTTTAACAGAATAAACAGAATAACAGATCAGTGCAGAGAACAAGGACACATGTGAGGAGGTACTGCAGCTGCCATCCACTCCCGATTTCAGGTGACTGCTTTCTGGACTGAGGCGTCACACTGACCGAGGTTTGAATGTATACTTTGCAGCTTACAGGCTGTGAAGCCTTGGGGACATGACTTCAGCTTTCTGAGCTTCGGTTCCCTCAGGTAGGAAATGAGGACAAAAATGCCCACTGTGTAGCTGTCAACAGGATCAAACAAAATAACACACATAAGGCAGACTACAGAGCTTTGGAACACTGTTGATGTGAAAAAGGAAAACTGGATCAAGAGAAAGGTTCATAAACCAAAATAAAAGCACTTTTGGGAAATATAAACACTCCGAAAAGAAAAACTCAGGTAAGTCTCTGTCCATCGAAGCAGAAGCAAGTTCAGTGGTGGAACATGGAACTGCAGGTGGTATGAGGTCAATGTCATGAGTTAGCGGCCAAGGCCGCCGTGCTGAGTCCGGCTTCTCCTCCGGGTGAGCCCGCTTCCTGTCCCCGCTCTTCAGCATGGCACTGCCCACGAGCGACTGGCACTGAGAAGCTCTGGCTGCAAATACCCATACTTCAAACATTTTCCTTTGTGAAAAGGAACAAGCCAGATACTATTCTTAGGAGGAAAAAACCCACAAGCCTTTTTCCTACAAGTAAGCTCAGCAAGTTTGTCGTCCCCCACTCCCCACATCCACACAAGGGTTTTCATTATTCACGGCGTCAGAATACAGAGCAGTGTTCTGTGCCTCTCCAAACCCAGGCCACGCTGGCCCGTTCAGAGGGCCCAAGGCTCACGGATGGCAGGGAAGCTCTATGGGTTAAGGTGCCTGGTATTTCCAAGAGCTTTCTGCTCCTTATTTATTTATTTATTTGAGACAGAGTCTTGCTCTGTCACCCAGGCTAGAGTGCAGTGGCGCAATCTTGGCTCACTGCAACCTCCACCTCCAGGGTTCAAGTGATTCTCCTGCCTCAGCCTCCTGAGTAGCTGGGACTACAGGTGTCTGCCACCATGCCTGGCTAATTTTGGTATTTTTACTAGAGATGGGGTTTCACTATGTTGGCCAGGCTGGCCTTGAACTCCTGACTTTGTGATCCGCCCCCCTCGGCCTCCTGAAGTGCTGGGATTACAGGCGTGAGCCACTGTGCCTGGCCTTATTTATTTATATGACTGAATACAGCAGCATCTCCAGTCACTGGGTCCTCAGCAATAACTGGTAAATGAAGAATGTACATGAGCATTTAAAAATAGTTCAAAAAAATCTCAAAATCTGCAAAGCCTATGACATGAGTCACCAACTGTGGTTATAAAATAATGTGGGGTGTCACATACCCCGAAGGTTGTTCAGTTGTACCTGCTGGAGAAAGGAAACACCACAAACCAAGGGATCACCGAGCGGAAAAACAGCCTTCCTGCTACCAAGCATTAGGTCCAGGACAAGGGCGAGGGAGAAATCATTTCAGGAGAGCTGCACGTACGTGGATTTACAAACTAGTTAGCACAACTGCCTTGCAGAACGGGAACACAAATGGCTTGTAGTTCTGGAAAGGAAGCCACTCGGACCAGGAAGAATGGATAAAGAAGGGTGACTCACACAAGCACCACGCCGCTGCAGGTTAGCTGAGCCATATGGGAGGAATGCGTGCACACGCACTGTGACACAGGTGACAGAGAGGGACACAGGACATCAAGGTCCTATGTGAGGGGCAGCAGCAGCCAGGGAGGTGTTCGTTTTCACCCAGGCGAGAGGCTGCCCTGTGAGCACAGCGGCACGAGGACAGGCTGCTAACGAGCGGCAAGAAGCAGGAAGGCTTGTCCCCATCTCGGCTGTCACCATCAGGGAAGCCCTCCCTGCCTCCTGGCCAGGCATGTAGTCACCCTCCCCAGAGCACTCGTGGTAGCGTCCACACCATGACTGGCACATAGCCAATCACCTAGGGAGCTTTCCACACACACACACACGCGTTTACACACATGCATATGCACACATGGCCATGTGTGCACCCACACCCCTACCTCTGAAGCTCTGGGGCAGGGCCTGGGAATGTATGTTCCTTCTGATGATCAGCCAGGTTTGAGCTTCACTAGACTAACTGGGCGCGGTGGCTCATGCCTGTAATCCCAGCACTTTGGGAGGCCCAGGTGGGCGGATCATGAAGTCAGGAGATCGAGACCATCCTGGCTAACACGGTGAAACTCTGTGTCTACTAAAAATACAAAAACTTAGCCGGGCGTGGTGGCGGGCGCCTGTAGTCCCAGCTACTCGGGAGGCTGAGACAGGAGAATGGCGTAAACCCGGGAGGCGGAGCTTGCAGTGAGCCGAGATCGCGCCACTGCACTCCAGCCTGGGCGACTAAGCGAGACTCTGTCTCAAAAAAAAAAAAAAAAAAAAAACAGCCAGGTGCGGTGGCTCAAGCCTGTAATCCCAGCACTTTGGGAGGCCGAGACGGGCGGATCACAAGGTCAGGAGATCGAGACCATCCTGGCTAACACGGTGAAACCCCGTCTCTACTAAAAAATACAAAAAACTAGCCGGGCAAGGTGGCGGGCGCCTGTAGTCCCAGCTACTCGGGAGGCTGAGGCAGGAGAATGGCATAAACCCGGGAGGCGGAGCTTGCAGTGAGCTGAGATCTGGCCACTGCACTCCAGCCTGGGCGACAGAGAGAGACTCTGCCTCAAAACAAAACAAAACAAAACTCTAAGGACACTTCCAGCATTAGAGGACAATGATTTTATGGAACATGCACATATTTTTTAAAGAGCCATTTTTTTCTCTATATTTTCTCTTGGAGGAGGGATATGCTTTTCTCTCTTTGGAGACATGAATTGACTCTGCCACTTGAGGGATGTCAGCAGGTCGCCTCTCACTGCCCCATTGGGCACACACTCCCGGGGCTGCTGAAAGGCTCAGCTATGAGGCAGGGGAGCCAGGAGCCCAGGCTTGCAGGCTCACAGCCCGCAGCCCAGAATGAGGATGGGCTGTGACCCAAAACCAGCACACTCCAAGGGTAAGGCTGAGCCAAACTTCTCCCCAGGGCTCCCCTGGATCCAGGAGGTAACACTGGCCTTTGGTGCATGGGGACTAGCAGTGGCCTCTCAGCATCCTGTTGGTCTCACCAGTGCCACCTCTCTCAGGTTTGGCTGGTTATATTCCTATCGTCCTGATACCCTAACAGCTACCATGTAGCGGGTGCTCTGACTGACCCCCTCCCTGTGCACCAGGCACTATGCCAAGTGCTCTGTCACACTGACAAACTGTCACCCCAAGTCCTTATAAACGCCTTGTGAAGTGCTCTTATTAGCTCCATGGTACAGACTGGAGAACAGCGTTAGTCACCTGACCAGGAGTGCAGGGCCAGGAGCCAGGGTGTCAGCAGGGCCACCTGACCTTGCGGCTGTATTCTTAACCTAGGGCGTGTTCATTCCTTAAGCCTTCTGGAACGGAGCCTCCTCCCACCCACCTTGCCTCCAGAGAGGAGAGAGCAGAGTCCCAGGCCCTGGCCTCTGTGCAGGGCGTCTCCTGGCTTACCTTGGCCAGCCTCGCTCGCTTGATGAGGTCGTTGAGTTTGCGCACCGCTGCCTTCTGGGGGAGGCTCTGGATGTCTCTGAAGAGGTCCTGGGCCTCGGCCTCGAAGAGCCGGCGGTTGTCTGTGTTCTGCAGGGGCTGCGCCCAGAAGGAGCCAATGTAGACGCGCAGCACCTCTGGCGTGTTGATGACCTTGCCCAGGGACCACATGAGGGCCCCGTAGACCCGCATCAGCTGCTGCGTGTCCACTTGGTCGGCCTTGTTCAGCACTACACGGATCTTGTCGTCCTGGCCCCGGAAGGCCTTGATGGCCTCTGAGAATTCATCTGAGATGTCCAGCTTGTGAGCGTCAAAGAGCAGGATGATCCTGTCCACCCTCTCGGCAAACCACTGCAGGACCTGGCAGAAGTCATAGCCTGGGTGGAGAGAAGGACACATCAGTGTGGCCACTGCTGCAGGAGACATGTTTCCTGGAGGGCTCAGGAACAGTCTCGCTCTCCAGCAGCTGCCAGCGAGACAGCCCTGTCTCCAACCTGGAGGCAGTGGAGGCCTGGTGACTTGAAAATCATGGTCTGGATGAATCTGGGCGGGAAGGACCTGGGGAGCCCTTCCATAGGAGGACGGGGGAAATAGAATGGGGCTCATGGTCGCTTTGGTAATTGCTGACTTCCATATCTGCAATTTCATTTGGTCCTCATGAGTGTTTTATTTCACCTAATACAGACCTTTTGCTTGATGGCAAAATTGATCAGTGGTTTTGTAAAAACACAAGCCATGGGTCAAAAGATCCTACTTCTGAAAAGTCTCACTTTTCTGAAAGCCCAGATAGAGAAGAAAGAGAACCAGAGGCCACCTGGCGTCCCATGGGGTATCCCGTAAGCATAACAGAGGAGGCTTCACCTTCAATTAACCCAAGTTTGTAGAGTGCTGAGGAGGTCAAACGTTGGCCCAGCAGGTGTTGTAATCGAATATTTATCTTTGGACTATTTATAGCTCAGGTATATTATAAATATTTTTAAAATATTACATCTCACAGTCATTGTGTAAAATGGTCTCTTGCCAATTTCTTTTTTTAAAATGGCCAGGCCCACAGCAAATTCTGTTCAGCCTATTCTGGCCAGCTCCACAAATCATGCAGCTGCGTAAACACTCTTTAGCCCAAGGTCAAGGCTCTCGGGCCTTTCCCCAGGGAGGCAGATTCCCACGAAAAGCAAACAAGAGGAGGCCAAGCCCACGAAGTTGACTTTTCATCTCAGTCTCAGTTGCAGAAGTGGAGTCTCAATCTAGCCCAGCTAGTGCTGAGATGTCACCTTGCCCGACCCCCATGCTAGGGGTTGTCTCCCCTCTTCTTTTAGATTTTGAAAACTTTCAAACATACATAAACATCTATAAGTCATATAATAAATGCTGATGTACCTGCCACATAATTTTAACAAATGTTGACACTTTGCTCTGTTTGCTGTTTCAGATACGTTTTAAAACCAAGTCTAGTTTCTTCAGATAACAAAATACAGTGGTGAGACGGATCGAGATCTTCACTTGTCATCACAGGCAAATCTCCAGAAAAGAACAAGAGTAAAAACTTAGTTTCAAAAGGATATGTACAGCATGGTAACATTCACGTAAAATGTTAAAATACAAAATACTCAGCCATCCATGGATACAGACTATAGCACAAATACAAAAACGTCAACGGCGATTGTGAGACCCTGGTTGGCCGTGGGGGTGGAGAAGGTGTGGATCTAAGGCAGAGGAGGAAGTATCTGAGGGGAACAATCTATTAGGTGAAAATAAAGAGGGTCTGTGGACTGAGGTTTCCATGCATTTGAAGAACAGGTGTTAGAGGAATAGCTGAACAAGCCAACTAGATTCAGGTCCATTTTTCATAAAGAAAACAAGACACTCGGTAATGCTGAAGCCCCCCGTGCACCCCTCCCCGAGTCCTTCCCCCCACTAGGAGGCCGCTGTTCGGAAAGTGGTGTTTATGGCGCCACACACGTGGATACTTCCAGTTCATGCTTTTCATTTCTCTGTTCTGTCTCACTGCACACTCCCTGACTCCTCGGGGATAAGGAAGATAAAGGCCGTTCTCGGAATGTGGGCCAGAGTTTATTTTCATTGCTGTCAACAGCCAGTTTAGGTCAGAGGAAAATCAAAAACCTACTGACAGGGTCACACATAGTATGCAAAGATTTAGAGTCAAGGTTTCACTCTGAGTTCTGTCCCGAAAGACCAGAACAAACTGCCCCCTAGGGTAACACAAAGTGCTACCGTCATTTGAGACAAACGTGTGCACAGACAGCCCTAGCCCACAGGACTGTAGGTCCTCAGAGGATGAATGAACTGGCTGTTCGCTGGGTGCCGGGAAGATGCTTTGGAGCCACCCTGCTGGGGTGGAAGATGGACCTGCATGGGGCCTTGCTTTTCCAGGAGAGATGATTGATTCACCATGCTGACCTGACCACTCACCCACGTGGTCTTCCTAGCGACCAGCTGGGGTGTCTGAAGGTTCAGAAACAAATCAAAGAAAATGCTGTGTCCAGGGTGCACATGGAGTGAACGTTGAGTTGCTTTTGCTGAATACCCTTCCTGTTGGGTCGGGGGGTATCCTTTACGGGCTGTGGGGCTGAAGGTGTGGCAGAGAGTCCCTGGCCCCATTCCTTAGCAAGCTGGGGCATAGGCATGTGATCTAGAGTTAGACATTCACCTCCTTCCACCAGAGAGGAGTGCTGAACCTTAGGGAAATGACACAAAGACACAGGGAAAATAAGAATTTATTCACGGTGGCGGCGGCTTCCTAACTCTTTTCTAAGCCTAGTTCTCCAACTTTCCCATTGATCCTGTGAAAAATTCTCCAAAACATTTTCTTTCCTGCTTAAATTAGTTAGAATCAGCTTCTTTGGTTTGCTATTGAAAGCGATGATAGGGCTGGGCGCGGTGGCTAATGCCTGTAATCCCAGTACTCTGGGAGGGAGAGGCGGGAGGACTGTTTGAGGCTAGGAGTTTGAAACCACCTGGCGATATGGTGAGACCCTGTCTCTACAAAAAATAAAAACAAATTAACTGGGCGTGGTGGCGTATGCTGTGGGCTCAGCTACTTGGGAGGCTGAGGCAGGAAGACCACTTGAGGCCAGGAGTTTGAGGCAGTGAGCCACGGACACACCACTGTACTCCAGCCTGGGTGAGAGAGTGGGACCCTGTCTCATACACACACACACACACACACACACACACACACACACACACACACACACAAAGAGAGAACCACAGTTGGTAAACAATCCTCCCCTCACCCCCATTTAAGATTTCGGAATACCTCTTACTGTCAGTTCCGAAAGAAACCTGCCGCCCAAACTGAAACACAGCTGTCACTAGCTGTGCTCGCGCCAACCCAGCCGTGCTTGCGCCAACCCAGCCGTGCAGATGCAGTCTCTCTTCCTCTCAGGGCCGCCTGGGTTGAATGGTTAGCTTTGATTGCAACACTTGTGTTTAAACTTTAACTTAAACTGGAGTTCCCAACAGTTAAGTATTTTTAAAAAAGATTCCATTTCAATGCTATAGTGAAATCAAAAATTATTAGGAACAGAGTTGCCAGATTTAAGTTTACTGTAAGTGATGCCAATACTCATGTCTGTAGGAACAGGTGTATATCCATATTTTCTTGTGTTAAAGCAACAATGAGAGCTTAATACAGTTCGAGAAGTACAGGTAGGCAGAGCTGTGTTTGTTCTGTCCCCGAGCAGGTGTAAGAGGACTGCCTGTCACACATCAGGCAACACAGTCAAAGGAGTAGAAATCACCGTGTCCAAAAGAGAGCAAGGAATGATCAACGCTGGGAGAGGCTGGTCTGCTTACCACCTCCCCCTACAAAGTCAGGATTATTTTGCCACTGTAAGTACGTTAAGTGTACTGCACGGTGGGATTAAATAAGTCACACTGTTGTACAACCATCACCACCACCCAGCTCCAGAACTCTTTCACCTTCCCCAATGGAAACTGAACCCATCAAGCACGAATTCTCCCTTCCTCTCTCCAGCCCTGGCGACCACCATTCTACTTTTTGTCTCTATGAATCTGACTATTCTAGGTACTTCAAGGAAGCGTCCTTTTGCGCCTGGCTTCTTCCACTCAGCAGAAGGTCCTCAAGATCCATCTGTGGTGTAGCATGTGTCAGAGTCTTCCTCCTCCTAAGACTGAATAGGTCTGCTTGATTCTTGCATCATGGAGGACTCAGGCACCAAAGACCTAGCTACCCAAAAATCCCAGCGGATCTAACTCCCAACATATCATTTAGTCTGCCTGCTAAAGGAAAACAGTCATTCAGAAGGACCTAGTGACCACTGATCCTCAAAGCCTGTTCCTGTATTGGAATGAAATAAGGGGCTTTGCTAAAATTTAGACTCCCAGGCCCCTCCCCAGAACCACTGAATCAGAACCCTGGGGACTGAGCCTGGCGGTCTGTACTTAGAAGCTCCCCAGATGACTGCAATGCATGGTGCAGTTTGAGGATCACTGTCTAGACTCAATACCAGGGTGGGGGAATTGTACAGATAGGTTTATGTTCCTGTTGGTTGGCAAGCAACAAAACAAATCAAATACATTTAAAGGAGTATTACTTCCTTTTATTTCAAAAAGTTACCAATAGATGTTTAGGTGGTGCATCACAGGTCCAGGAAATGCAGAATTGAAACATGCTTATTTGAAGATGGATTTTAAAACTCACCCAAGCTCCCTGCTCTTGCCCATGCTGGGCCCTGACCCTGGCAAACCCTTCCTCTATGGTCTAGACCGGGCCTAGAGATCCAGCCCAAATCCTAGTCATTCTTCAAAATATCTGGGCCAACTTTGATTAAGTTAGACATTATGTAACTTTAAGCTCCAGTTTTTTTCACCTGTAAGATCGAGTTGTTAAGTAATTACATGAGAACTGCTTTTATGGTGTTGAGACTTTGTTAACTTTCAGCAAATGTGAGCTATGGTTACTCTGCTTTCCTCAACTGCTCCCCATCCTGAGTTCCCTTGCCTGTGCTGCCTGTGGCACCACTTCACACAGGGTATTAAAATCAGAGGGATGGGCTGGTCTCTCCCATTAGATTATATATTCTCTAACCATAGGAACCATGTCTTCATCATGGTCACACAAGATAGTGGTGGACAACGTGGGCCTTGGACCCAGACTGCCTGGGACCTTCCCGGCTCTATCACTTACTAGTTCTGTGACCTTGGGCAAGTTACTTCACCTCTCTGTGCCTCATTTCCTCATCTGTAATAATAGTGTCTTAGGGCTACGCTAGGACTGATAATAGTATCCACAGGCCTCCGGAGCTGCAGAGTTCATATAAGTGAAGCATTTAGAATCACCTTGGCATCTAGAAAGCGGTCCAAAATGCTATCTACTGGTTATTTTAAAAATCTT